TTACAGTTCACTATGCACAGAGAAACCTTTAGGCCAAACTTAAAATACATAAGGAGGTAGTTTCATGCTAAACTTAACAGCTTCAAGCTTAAAAAGCCAGAATAAGGGAACAGATTAAGCCCAAAATAAGTAGAAGAAAGGAAATAACAAAGATAAGAACAGAAATCAATGAACTAGCAAACAGATAGAGATCAACGAAACCAAATGTCAGTGCTTTAAAAATATCGATAAAAATAATAAACTTCTACCTAGGCAGTATTAGTTATATGATTGTATATATTTGTCAAACTCACTGAGTTGTATACCTATAATGAGTGCACTTTATTATCTGTTAATTGTATCCAAAAACATGGGCAAAAGATTTAAATGGCCAATAAACACATGAAAAGATATTTAGTCTTCAGTGAAATAGAAATTAAAACCACCATGAGATGCTAGTACACAATCACTTAGAATGGTGAAATTTCTTTTAGAATAACTATACTAACTGGATATAAATCAATGAAAACTCTACAAAGCAATGAAAATTACATTGCTGGTTGGAGTAGAAAATGGTACATCCATTGTGGAAATTAGATTGATAGTTTCTCATAAAATTAAACATAAGCTACTGTTTTGGCCCAGTAATTCCACTTGTAGGTATTTATTCAAGAGAAATAAAAACATATGCCCGCAACAAACCTCATACAAGAGTATTCATAGCAGCTTTATTTATGAAAACCCCAAACTAGAAACAGGTCAGGAGTCTAGCAATGGCTGAATGAATAACAAATTGTGATATATCCATAGATTGGATCAATGGTATACCAATACAATCATACATCACATACATCATAATTTTTATGGACATACAACATACACAATGGCATATTAATACAATGGATATTCAGCAATTAAAGGAATAAACTACTGATACATGTTACAACATGGAGAACCTCAAAAGCATTATGTAATGAGAAACCAGACACAAAGGCTAGATGCCATATAGCTCTGTTTATTTGAAATTCTAGAATAAGTAAAACTAACCTATGGTTATAGGAAGCAAGATGGAGGTATTCAAGGGAATGAGATTGCAAAGGTCTTCAAGGACATTTTTTTGCCATGATGAAAATGACATAAATCTCAATCACAGCAGTGACTTTACACCCAGGGCCACTCCTAAGGTGCTCAGAATCTGGGAAAATATATTTTGTGCAACCCCTGTCTACACACAATATTTGAGTCATCCAAAATTAGTGTCTTGATACCATTCTGGTTGGCCCAATTTCATGCACTTCTGTCAAGGATACATTGTCCTGGTTAGTGGAGCAATCCACTTACCATGCTGCTCTCCTGGAACTGGGTCTCAACCACAAGTACCATAGATGATCCCATAGGTTAGAGTCCTGGAGTTCCTTGGGACATCTGGTGGGCCCCAAGCACAGGATGGGGGATGGCTAGAGACTGCAAGAACGCCTGGAAAAACACAGACCAAGTCTTATGTCTGTGTGGGACCCATTCTGAGCTAAGGAAAGCCCAACCTAATGACACCACTGGTGCTAAGCTGCTGAGCCTATGTGAACAAAGTCAAGGCAAGTGTAGCATGGTGTGCTGAGACCAAGGCTCTGGTCTCAGACATTGGCAGGAAACTGGAAATTTTAAGAAAAGTGCTGCAAAGTGCAGCGGGGTCCCCCTGAGATGCAAGGCAGAAGCCCCATCTACCCAGGTCTAAGGTAGTACTGGTTTACATGGTACAGGCATTTATTAAAAGTCATCGAATTGTACACTTACAATGAGTGCATGTTATTGCATATAAATTATACCTCAACAGAGAATGATTACTACCAAGAAAGAAAACCCTGTAGTCTTAGCTACTCAGGAGGCTGAAGCAGGAGAATCACTTGAGCCCAGGAGTTCGAGGCTATAGTGAGCTTTGATCACACCTGTGAACAGCCACTGCACTCCGACCTGGTCAACACAGTGGGACTCCATCTCTAAAAAAAGAAAAAAGATAAAGAGAAAAAGAAAGAGGAAGAGGAAGGAAGGAAGGAAAAAGAGAGAAAGAAAGAAAGAGAAGAAAGAGGAAGGAAGGAAGGAAGGAAGGAAGGAAGGAAGGAAGGAAGGAAGGAAGGAAGGAAGGAAGGAAGGAAGGAAGGAAGGAAGGGTCGTATATCTCAGATTCCCAGGCCCCATTCCAGACAAAATTAGATTGTCTTCTGTCTGGACGCTGGGAAATTTTCATCTGTTGGTTCTCAGTTGCCTAGGGAATTAGATCCAGAGCTCACTTTCCAACCTAACCCTGACATGCCTCTTTATCCTCAGTTCCTGATACTCTTTTTCTTGATGCATACTCCAGACACAATGAACTTAGAAACAGTCCTTAAAAATGCTCACACCCCTTTGCAATCCCGTGCCTCTATATATTAGGTTTCCCCTGCTTGAACTCACACCTTCTCCATGCAAGGAATTCCTACACTTCATTTAAAGTCCATCTGAAATGTCCCTTTTCCTGTGTAGCCATCTCTGACCACCCAACAGCTTTAAGATGGTTGGAGGTGTTACTGGTGGAGGGTGTCCAGGTTCTCAGTGTTTTGAACGAAGAATTGGACAAAATGCACAAACAAAGCAAGAAAATAATGAAGCAACAAAAGCAGAGATTTACTGAAAATGAAAGTACACTCCACAGGGTGGGAGCGGGCCTCAGCAGCTGCTCAAGGGCCCAGATACAGAATCTTCTGGGATCCAAGTACCCCTTACAGGTTTCCCACTGGCCACTTGGTGCTCACCCCATGCAAATGAAGTGGTGGTCTGCAATCAGTCTGATTGCAATCAGTTAGAGGCTGAAGTGAAGTTACGAAGGTCACACTTTTATGCGAAGATCTGATTGGTTGTGGGAGCAACCAATTGGAGGCTGAAGTGAAGTTACAAAGTGTCACTTCTATACAAAGGGAGATGTGACCCACAATCAGTCTGATTGGTTGTGGACAGCCTACAGAGGCTGAAGTGAAGTTTCAAAGTCACACTCCTATGCAAACGTCTAACAACCAATCAGAGGTACCTTCAATTTTCCATCCGCCACGCAGAAGAAGTGGGGACTTGGACAGGGAGTAGTCTCTGGTCGCTTTGTTACTGAGGGGTGGAAAGTTAGGGATTTCCTTTCAATTTAGTTCTAGGAACTCAGCGCGAAACAGCCTTAGGTTCCCTACCTCCAGAACCTATCTTCCTGCCTCAGAGAGAGGATGATCCCTCTTCAGTGACCCCACAAATCTTGGGACATACTTTTTATGGCTATGACACTTGTTGAAAGTGGACTGTTGATATCTGTCTGGAGGCTTTCTCTCATATCTAATTGTGAATTCCTCCAGGGCAGGGACCATACCTTCTTCAATCCAGCAGCTAGCACAGTGCCTGGCAACATAATAGGCTCTTGACACAAGCTGTTCACTGAACAAATGAATCAGTGAATGAATCTCTTCCCCTTTGGGGACTCTTTAGTGGGAGCCTTCATTGGAGAGTAGTTTCACCACAGCATGACCAATAAGCAAAAAATTTTAAGAGCTGGGACAGCCTTGGTGGGGGAGGGTTATTTGGTCAGGGAAATATTTTAACCCCGTAGATTATGCCCCTGAGGTATTTTGGCCTATCCAGGACTTGTATTTATAAGATGGCCAAGGTCAGGGCTCATTCTGTGGCCGAAATTTGTTGTTAAATACCCATCATCATCACTATCATCATCATTATCCTTTACTGGGCATTTATTATGTGTCACATGCTGGTATAAACACTCTTGCATATTAGCTCATTTAATCTGCACAGTAACTCTGGAAGGAAGGGGCTATTGGGTTGAACCATAAGAAATTGTCAATATTCAATCTTTTTTGATCCACAAAATAGCATTTTCATATGGTTCAACCTAATATTACCAAAATTTTTTACCAAGGTTCAAGGAGGTGAGTCCCTTGCTCAGATTTCAATGTTTATTCCTCTGGCTCCAGAGCCCTTTTGCTATTTCACCTACACTGCTGGCTTCTATCAGTTGTGAAATCCCTGCTCTAAGCCAGTCCACAGAGGCTAATAAGTTGGACAGGAGCAGGCCTGGCTAGGGTTTCAAATGCTCTTTTGCAGGAGGGATGAGCTGGCTTGTCCTGAAAATGTTAGTCTTTTAGCAGTCGTGTTTCCAATTTCTTTTTAGTCTCTCATTCATCCAGAATCCACCTCCCTCACCACACACACACATGCGCGCGCACACACACACACACACACACACACACACACACACACACACACGAGCCAAGCAGCTGACTCACACACCATGCCGCAGTTGCCTTGACTTTGTTCACGTAGGCTCAGCAGCTTGAGACTGCGGCCCCAGCATCGGCAGTGTCCTCAGTTGGCACCTGGAGGAATGGTTGCATTCTCCCCTTTATTATGGAGATGGCTAGAGTCGGTGCTCTTGTCCTGGCTGAAGACAGCCATAGAGATCGGCAGAGGCTTAAGTATGAAGTCAAAGGTGATGTCAGATATCAGAAAGGGCCCAGGTAGCCGTGGGGAAGTCCTACCAGCTGGATCTTTGAGCCTTGGACAGAACCAGCAGCGGGTAGGGCAGACCCCAACCCCACTGACATCTCTGCTGCTCGCTTACCAAGCCCTGTGCGCTGCCCACTGGGGCAATAGACCTGGCAGTGCTGGAGGCTGAGAAGGGAGAGACATATAATACAGTAAGCAATGACCCCCAGAAGAGGCTCGCAGTGATCCCCACTTCATAGTATGAGGAAAATGACAGAGCATTGTCTGGATTGTGGTTGGGCAGGAAATTGAGACCAGGGAAATGGACATACTCAGAGCTTCGGACATCAGGTGGGCCTGAGAGGCCTGGCTGAGGAATGAGGGGTGAGTCTGGAAGTGCAGGCAGCCTTCCCATGATATCTACCTTGAGATGAGTGCGGTCAGAAGAGTCCAGGCTAGCTGGGAAGTTGATCCGGGGCTACAAACCCTGGGCTACAGGAGAGTGGAACCGGAAACGCTTCCTCCAAGAACCCCAGAAGCTTCTGGCCCTTCCGGGCATAACTAGAAAGAGAAGCAGACAGCCCCAGGATCTTACTCAATGAGAGCTCAAAGTCTTGCCTTCCTGTTTCCTCTCTCATGAGGGGACAGCCTGAGATGTCACGAAGCGCCCCAGGCTGCAAGTTAGGAGACGGGAGTGCTAGTCCCATCCCTGCCTGACAGAGCCCTCTTCTCCCTGGGCCTCAGTGTTCTCCATCTGCACAAATGATGAGGCAGGATGCATAAAGTGGGTAAGGCAGTAGGTACAACCAGAATCATGGATTTCAAATTTTTACAGTTTGGAACACTTTCTTTAAGCAAAATCTAACAGGGCAGCTCAACATGTAAGGTGGCAGATGAAAATAGAACTGATCTCACCCCATTCCCCTTCCCAGAGGTTCCCCTAGAACCTCCATGGTAGACCAGAGCCCCTTTTAAAGACCACTGGGTTAGAGCGGTGGCCCTCCAACTTGAGTGTGCACTAGCATCACCTGGAGGGTTCGTAGGAATAGATTGCTGGGCTCATCCCTAGAGTTTTTGACTGTGCGTATGGGATGGAACTGAGAATTTGCATTTCTAACAAGTGCCCAGGTGATACTGACATTGCTGGTCCAGGGACCACACTTTGAGAACTACTAGGTTACATTCTACCTAAGGGCCTTCCTATGATTCATGTCCAGTCATTCAATATCTACATTAATCCACCTCAGATCGGTTTTCTGTGATATTAAAGCATAGGAGAGCACCTGACCTTGTTCCTGGCACATAGTAGGCACTCAGTCAAAGCTGGTAGGAACTCATCTAAATACTCTGCCTAGAAGTCTGTTTAAGTGTACAGTCGTGCTAGCTACTGGTAAAGGGATTCACAGAAGCAGAAGCTTTACTTTTAATAAGTTTACAGTCTGCCATGGCCCCTCCACCCCCCAGGAAATAACACCCCCGCTATTTCCATCATTAGCAGTTATTCCATATTAAACATTTTCCTTTCTAGATATTCTTTTTTTTTTCCAGGTAAAGCCCCTGGGAAGGGAAAATAGTCCAGTCCCTGACCCCTCAGCATTTCTCAGATGTGTTCCCATGTAGGAGGACACAGCTTCCATCCTCTAGGTGTTCTTCCAGAGCAAGGACCTTACCTGTATCACTCTCCCCCACATACTCCACACCTCCTAGCCCAGTGTCTGGCACAGAGTGGGCACTCAGTACAAGTCTGCAGAATAGAATAAAGGAAGCATGTGAGCCCCAACTTGAGCCAGCTCACGTGGGCCACCAGCACCCCAATCATGGCCAAGGCTGCTCACCGGGGAACTTTGGAGGGAGCACAGGGGGCAGGTCTCTAGCCACACGCACCTGGGATTGCTGCCTGGGAGGTTTTGCAAACTGGCTCCAGGAATGTTCAGGGCCTCCCATTCCCCACATCCTCCTTTTCAGCCTCACCACGTTCTTAAACAAATTGGCACTGACCCTGGTGACAGACTTGATCATTTCCCTTTGCTTCGTGATTGTGTTAAGTGACTGCCAAAGGCCTGCTCCTGAATAGTCAGCACATTCCTCAGGACGGCAAGTGGGAGCCCATCTGCTCCTGGAACACTTCCTTTCCTTTATTGTGCTATTTTGGCTTCAATTTCCCATTTGGACAGGAGCATCTTCCAGCCGGTGGGGAAGGGGAGAGGGTGGAGAGGAGCACCACAGCCTTCGTTTCTCACTCATCTCTGGTTTCTCTGGAAATAAATCAACAAATATAATACTACATGCTTGGTGCTGCTCTTAGCTCTCTAAATGTGTCCATGGAGTTAATCTTTACAACACCCCCTATGAGGAAGGCACAAATAATACCCCATCTTCCAGATGAGGAAACGGAGGCTGAGAGAGGCAAAGTGACTTGCCCAAGGTCATACAATATGTGATAGAGCTGGGATTTGAATCTAGACAGGTCTGGCTCTGGAGGCTGACTTCTTACCCATTGGCTCTACCACCTTGCAGGGTGTGTATTCTTGAGGCTGTGGATCTGGGCCCAATGGTATCTGAGGCCATGGCCCTTTCCCTCTTCACTGTGTGTCAGCAGAATCTAAAGTCACTTAGATTGAACACAGAATTCCAGCCAGGCACATTGGCTCATGTCTACAATCCCAGCACTTTGGGAAGTTGAAGTGGGAGGATCGCTTGAGGCCAGGAGTTCAAGACCAGCCTGAACAACATAGCAAGACCCCATTATTACCAAAAAAATTTAAAATTGGCCAGGTGTGGTGGCGTGTGCCTACAGTGTCATCTACACAGCAGGCTGAGGTAAGAGGATGGCTTAAGCCTAAGAGTCAAGGCTGCAGTGAGCTATGATCAGGCCACAGTGCTCCAGCCTGGACAACAGAGCAAGACCCCATCTCTTAAAAATTTTTGGAAGGAAATAGAATTCCTTGCAGAGCAAAAGGCTTTCTTCATCCCTTGCCACTGACCCTCTCATTTAATGCAATGTTTGAACTCACAGATGCTACACCAATGTGGACTCTGCCTTCGGGTTAGTTGTAAGGAGCTGATGCAGTAATGCTAAACAGCTCATCATGTGCTCTTCTCGATGTACCTTGCCTCATTTACATCTCACATCAACCCTAAATCAGGTTGTAGGGAGAAGCTGAGGCTCAAAGAGCCCACAGCCAACCACAGGCCATGCACATGGGCAATTCATTACTACACTAGATGTTAAACAGCTAGGTAGCCATTGCTAGGTGTCAGGTGTTGTCTAAACACTCTCCCTCATTGATTCATTCAATCCTCATAAAAATCCCATGAAGTAGGTACTGTTATTATCCCTATATCCCTATTTCATAGAAGAAGAAGCTGAGGCATGGAGAGGTCAAGTAACTTGCCCAAGGTCACACAGCCAGAAAGTGGAAGATCTGGGATTTGAACCAAGTCTGTTGGCTCAGACTGCTGTGTTCCTAGTGTATGCTCTTAACCACTACCTTGTGCTTCCTCTTGGCACTGAGGCCACCTCAGGGCACTTGAGGTACCATGTTACCATAACCTCCTCCACCTCTTCCCCTTGTCTTCCTGCTATTCCAAATTGACTTGGTATTCCCAATAAACATAACTCTCCGAGGTTCTGGAGTTCAAATTATAGCACTGTACTTACTAGCAGGGTGACCTCTGTTTCTTTCTGTACCTCAGTTTCCTAATCTGTAAAGTGGGAATAATATGAAAATGAGCTCATAGGGGGGTTGTGAGCATGTAGGTCAGGCACAGTGGATTCCCCCATCACCACCACCACCTCCTGTTGCATCTTCTCCAGCCCAGCCCCAGCATCCTGAGGGGGGAAATGGTGCTTCACGCCCTTTCACTTATCAGTCTCACCCTCCGTGTCTGTCTCTTCCTGTCTCAAATGAAAAGCAGCCTTCAGTTACAGATTCCCTAGCCTTTTCAAAACTTGGTGATTGCAATTCCTCCCAAGAGATCAGAGAAAACCATTTCCCTAGCATTCTAAGCAGGAATTCTATTGTCATTTGTTAACTCAAACATGGCCAAGGTGGCCCAGCCCATCCCCTTTCTTCCACACCCATAGGAGAGATAGAGAAAAGATAACTTGACTGGAACAGATCCCAGCAGCACCCCATGGCCAGAGTCCCTGAGAGAAATTCACAGCAAGGAAAGGTACCCAATTTCAAGTAATTATTTAGAATCTGATGATGCTTTGCAAAGTCAGTGACAGTGCAGGTGAGCTTCTCCCTCTTGCCATCTTTACAGAAAATGTTAAGGTACTAGACAGGGAATATAAATTTTCCAGTAATTTCCCTAACTTCCTAAGTGTCCCTGTCCTGTAATTCCAGTCTTGTCTTGTTGCTACTGGTGTCTTACCTCCTCAGCTCAGTGGGGCAGAGCATAGCGCTACCTATAAGCAGGTAGTTAGGATTAGAAAATAAAGTCTCCTTCACTTAGCTCTCCAGCCATGCAGCAAGCTCTAATTTTGGCCACTGACTGAGCCCTAACCCCAGCCTAGAATGTTCCCTAACCCTGTTCAGAGGGTGAGCCTAAACCTTGGTAATGGGCTGCTCCATTATTATTATATTATTATACACAGACAGTGTATAATTGCAGAATGAAGAAATTCCAACCTGGAGAGGTAAAGCAACTTGGCCAGCATCAGACAAAACCAATCCTCCATTCCAGCCATATACTGATGCTGAACTTTAGCCACTGAGAATGAGACTTCAAGCGTGAGGATGTATCAGTGCAAGTGATCCTTACTACTAAGATTCCAGCTCACAGACAGGTGAGTGGACACCACATCTTTATCTGGAAGGGAGAGGCCACTCCTGTCTTCACGGAGTAGTGGGCCTATTAAAAGGAATTCTTGCCTAGGGAGAGTGATTTGTATGATGAAAGAAATCAATAAATTGCTATTGAATGCAGTCCAACCTCACTTACTCAAACTAATTGGATGTAGCCTTTCAAATTAGTGAACCATCTGTATTGTAGGTT